AAATTTCAACTTTGATTTCAATCAAAGATTTTAAAGAACTTATTGCTCGTATCGATTCTTCTCTTGATGATGCTGAATTACCTATAATACCGGACAAGCTTAAATTACTTTTCAAAGGGAGTAATGATGGGTTTGGCAAAAACGTTTTTTTTAAAAAGTTAAAAAATATCGAAAAGACAATTTTAATTTTAAAAATTCAAGGCACCTCTGAAATAATTGGGGGTTTTAATCCTTTAAAGTGGATAAAACTTGGAAATTTTAATTCTAAAGATGCATATTTTTCGGCAACTGATGAAAGCTTTCTCTTTTCATTAAACAATGGGAATTTTGCTTTTTCAAACGTTGCATGTCCAGAACACGCTATATACCACGAAAAAGGTCTTGGCCCATCATTCGGATTAGATCTATACATGGTTTCTGGTAGAAAGGGGCACACATGGCGATGTTATAAATCCGATTATGAATATGCGATTAGAGATACAGACGAATGTTTCCAAATAGAGGACTATGAAGTCTTTCAATACTTGTAATCTATTAATTGTCTGGAGCGTAGCAAAGGACACTTAGAACACTTAAAATTCTAGAGCTTTTGTAAATTAGCGTGCTCCGGACGTTTCGCACCGTGTGCGTACATAGTTTTATTTTTGTATAAATTCTTAGTTGCGCTAAACGGAAGTCAATATAGATTTCCATAGTCTCTTGTATATTTATGTATAATAAACAAAAATTTAACAAAATTGGATTTAAAGATTTTTCACATGATTACCATTTTTAATAAATAACAAATTCAGGAAATTCCGAGTTTGCAGTTTGTAACATTACACAGATTTACGTATTTGATAAAACAATTCTCAATTTTGAGCTAAATAAAAGTTGCATGAAAAAGAGACTAAACATCAAATTTGCACATAAAAGCCATGCATTTAGAAAATGGTAATTGTTCTAGTTCCATAAACATGTCAATAAAATGGCTTCAAAAAGCTATTCAAGATGGGAACATCAACCTTTTT